AGACGCTTGTATCAAAAAGGAGGCAGAGTTTCTTTCGTATAACGAAATTATGGGATCACTGCTCACTGCGGCTTCTTTGTTTGGAACATGCATGACTGTCGCTGTCGCAGTCATTTTTGTCACACACAGGAACACTCCTCTTGTGAGAGCAAACAACTCTGAGCTGAGCTTCCTGCTGCTCTTCTCCTTAAAGCTGTGTTTCCTCTGCTCTCTGACATTCATCGGCCAGCCGTCTGACTGGTCCTGCATGCTGCGGCACACGGCGTTCGGCATCACCTTCGTCCTCTGCATCTCCTGTGTTCTTGGGAAAACCATAGTGGTTCTAATGGCATTTAAAGTCACACTTCCAGGGAGAAACGTGATGAAATGGTTTGGGCCTACGCAGCAGAGAGTCAGTGTTCTGGGGTTTACTCTGATACAAGTGATCATCTGTATCCTCTGGTTAAGCATCTCTCCACCTTTTCCATCCAAAAACTTTGAAGGATTCAAAGATAAAATCATCTTGGAGTGCGCTCTGGGTTCTGCTGTGGGTTTCTGGGCTGTGCTCGGGTACATAGGATTTCTTGCCGTCTTGTGTTTCATTTGTGCTTTTCTTGCTCGTAAACTGCCTGATAATTTTAACGAAGCCAAATTCATCACCTTCAGCATGTTGATATTCTGTGCTGTCTGGATCACTTTCATCCCAGCGTACGTCAGCTCTCCTGGGAAGTTCAGTGTCGCTGTAGAAATCTTTGCTATCCTGGCCTCCAGTTTTGGATTATTAGTTTGTATCTTTATTCCGAAATGTTACATCATGCTGATAAAACCAGAAAAAAATACAAAAAAGAACATGATGGGGAAGGGTGCTCTGAAATAACTGTGTGACTTAAAATGTTTCTATGCCTCAGTTCATATGCTTCAATCTCAATAGGACAACCTGTATAAATAAAGCTGAAATAAAAGTTTTTAAAAATAATTCCCGGCTAAAGGTTCACAGCTACTTTATTTGTTTGTTTTTTTGTGTATGTGTACGCGCTGCTCACACCCTCATCCCTGCTCTCTGCCACGCTACAGCTTCTGCAAAAGCTCTAGCGTAGCAGAGGCTAGTTAACATGGCCGCCCAAGTTAAACGCCTGTGGATAAACAGTTTTCCTCAAACAGTAAGTTGTTTCTTTTCCATTTGCATCTTGAGCTTCGGATGCAGCAGCATGATTGACGGAGCTAAGACCTTCCTCCTGACTCTGATTGGTTGTTTGTTTCTGACCGGGAACAGTGAATTTCTGTAGATGGCAATAAAAGCTTAAAGTGGATGTGGAGGAGCTTGATTTTTTTCCCCCCACAGATTATTCATACTAAACCATCACAACACGGTGACATTTCCCAACTTTGCTTTCAAGCAGTCCATTGCTTTAACCATGGCAACCAAACAGAAATCACCTTTTCCTAACTATTAGAAATTGTACAGATTTTGAAAAAAATAAACATTAAATTTGCTTTTTTTTTTAATTGCAGAAGTTTGAGGTAAATGTCATGCTAAAAAAGTTTGAAAATGAAACTTCTGCAAAATAAAAAAATAAAACCATTCTGTATTTTACTCATATTTACTAGGGCCTTCCCTCTTCCTCACCCCTCCCAGGAGGTTAAAGCAACATTGTTTATTCATTACATCTCAAGTGAATACATAAAGTATAAATATTCGTGCAGGTTTTTAAACACGGTTCTTTCACCCGGCACAATGTCTGCAGGGTGGCGGCCGGAGTGGCGACTGAAGCTTTTCTGTTTGTTGTTGGCGTCGTCTTTGTCTCTGGCTGAGGAGCAAACCTGCACGCATAGAGGCGACCTGGAGGATGCCCAGCTGATAAAGAAAGGAGACATTATGTTGGGAGGAGTCTTCTCGTTCCACAGCAGCTGGAGGAACAGTCAAGATGATTATGAACAAAAACCTCGGCAACTGCAATGCACCAGGTGAATCACGACGCTACGCTGGTATAAAAGTGACTCGGTTATCTTGCATGTTGTTGAAATGAAGATCAAATTGGTTATGATTTCACATGTTTTTCTTCAAAGCTTAAATTTCAGAGACTTCCAGTTTGCTCAAGCCATGCTTTTTGCCATTGAGGAAATTAACAACAGTTCAGATCTACTGCCGGGAGTTACTCTGGGCTACAAAATGTACGATGCCTGCGGTTTCATTGCCAGAAGTGTAAAAGTTGCGCTGACCTTGCTCAACGGTAATGACATTGAGGCTCTACCTGCAGATGCATGTACAAGACCTGCACAGGTTCAGGTGATAATGGGAGAAACGTCTTCCTCTCCCAGTGCAGCCATTGCCACTGCTGTTGGACCCTTTCACATCCCAATGGTGGGTGAAAATGTCCATGTAGTTTGTTCAGCATTTTCTTTTACAAAACAATTTGTTAAAATAAAAAGCAGTATTGTTTTTTTTTTCTTCATCAGATCAGCCATTTTTCCACGTGTGCTTGTCTCAGTGATAAAACTAAGTACCCCTCATTTCTCAGAACAATACCCAGTGACTATTACCAGAGCAGAGCTCTGGCCCATCTGGTCAAACACTTGGGTTGGACTTGGATCGGAGCTGTTAGATCCAACGACGACTACGGAAACAACGGCATGGCGACGTTCACAGACACTGCAGAGCAGCTGGGCATCTGTCTGGAGTATTCTGTATCGTTCTTTAGAACTGATCCACCTGATAAAATACATAAGATAATTGAGGTTATTAAGTCATCCAACTCAAAGGTTGTTGTTGCCTTCCTCTCTCACATGGACTTGGATGTGTTGCTAAATGAGTTTTCTGTGAACAATCTGACTGGCTACCAGTGGGTGGGAACCGAAGGCTGGATGTTTGATTCTCAGATTGCGGCGATGGATAAAAATCGTATTCTGGATGGAGCTATAGGCCTTTCCATCCCCAAAGCGCATGTCAGTGGCCTCAGAGAGTTCATGTTTAACGTGAAGCCGCTGAATTCATCAAATAGTGAGTTATTTACACAGCTTTGGGAGGCGTTGTTCAGCTGTAAGTTCAAGCAATCAAACTCGGCAGAGATTCAGAAGAAATGCACCGGAGAGGAAGATATAACTACAGTGGAAAACAGCTTCACTGACATGTCACTCATGCCAATATTTTACAACGTCTATAAAGGGGTTTATGCAGTGGCTCACGCTCTGCACGAAATACTCAACTGCAATAAAACATGTGACATCAATGTACAGCTAGATCCGTACACAGTAAGTTTAATAATATGATGTCTACAGAACATTTTTTTACTCAAAGCTCGGCCCTTTGCCACATTTATTATTAGTCATGATTCATCTTGTGTTAGATTTTACAGCACTTACAAAGGATTCACTTTAAAACAAAGGAAGGAGACGAGGTTTATTTTAACGAGAATGGAGATCCGCCAGCAAAATATGAGATTATAAACTGGCAGCGGAGTGAAGATGGCATATTGAACTTTGCGGCCGTTGGTCTTTATGACGCATCATTGCCAGCGGATAAACAGCTGAATGTGAAAATTGGGTCAATAGTTTGGGCTAAAAACTCACTCCAGGTAAGTTGCCACATTATTTAATTCTGGTATGATTTCAAATAGTTGAAAAAGTCATCACAATCTGTGGTATTTCTGTCTTTGGACTGTATTTTTATGCAGTTGCCAGTTTCAGTTTGCAGTGAGAAGTGTCCGCCAGGAACACAAAAAGTCCTCCAGAAGGGACGACCTGTTTGCTGTTTTGACTGCATAAGATGTGCAGAGGGAGAAATAAGCAACAGCACAGGTTAGTTAGTATTTATTTATCTATGTGTCCATATTTTTCATGTCTATCATTGCTTTATTTAAGTATTGGTCATTGATCACATATATCCTACTGCATCAAATCTAAATTTCAGTGGATACAAATATTAAACAGTTATAAGATCAAGACCAGTTCACTTAGCTCAACATCTGTTTTGCTGTGATTTCACAGATTCTGTCACCTGTGTGCGGTGCCCTCTTGAATCCTGGTCAAATGAAAATCGAACTGCCTGCATAAAGAAGGAGGCAGAGTTTCTTTCATATAAAGAAATTATGGGATCACTGCTCACTGCGGCTTCTTTGTTTGGAACATGCGTGACTGTCGCTGTCGCAGTCATTTTTATTAAATACAGAAAAACTCCTCTTGTGAGAGCAAACAACTCTGAGCTGAGCTTCCTGCTGCTCTTCTCCTTAAAGCTGTGTTTCCTCTGCTCTCTGACGTTCATCGGCCAGCCGTCTGAATGGTCCTGCATGCTGCGGCACACGGCGTTCGGCATCACCTTCGTCCTCTGCATCTCCTGTGTCCTGGGGAAAACCATAGTGGTTCTAATGGCGTTTAAAGCCACACTTCCAGGGAGAAACGTGATGAAATGGTTTGGGCCTACGCAGCAGAGAGTCAGTGTTCTGGGGTTTACTCTGATACAAGTGATCATCTGTATCCTCTGGTTAAGCATCTCTCCACCTTTTCCATCTAAGAACTTTAAAGAATTTAAAGACAAAATCATCCTGGAGTGTTCGTTGGGTTCTGCTGTGGGTTTCTGGGCTGTGCTCGGGTACATAGGACTTCTCGCCATGTTGTGTTTCATTTGTGCTTTTCTTGCTCGTAAACTGCCTGATAATTTTAACGAAGCCAAATTCATCACCTTCAGCATGCTGATATTCTGCGCCGTCTGGATCACTTTCATCCCAGCGTATGTCAGCTCTCCTGGGAAGTTCAGTGTTGCTGTAGAAATCTTTGCTATCCTGGCCTCCAGTTTTGGATTATTATTTTGTATCTTTATTCCAAAATGCTATATCATGTTATTGAAACCAGAAAAAAACACCAAAAAGAACATGATGGGAAAAGGTGCCCCAAAATAATTTTTTAAACCAGTCATGTGTTGGCGAGGGCAGGTTTGTTGAGTTCATAAGACACTCAATGAAATCAAACAAACACTCCCATCACATGCAACTTTTTCTTCCTTTAGCTGCTCAGCTCTCACTCTCAGTGGCTCCAACCTGCTCGCAGTAGAGCTTTGTTTTGGAGAGTGTTCTCAAAAACAGGACAAATACTAACTCAGATGAGGAACCAAATAATAGTTGGGACAATAGATTTTTTTGAAATCCAACCTGCACTGAGGACGTAGTTTGGCTATAGAGTTTGGTTCTGTCTCTACTATGGTTCTATTCAGTGGGTTTGCTTGGAGTGCTTTGGTTATTTGTTTTTTTTGTTAAATAAAAACTAAAGATTTGATAAAATATTTCACAAAAAGCATTCCTATTTTACAAATCAAGCTAAAACTTCTTTGGGAGCTGTACCAAAAGAGCTGAAAAAGGCCTTTTGATCAGGAATACATAATACATAGAATAAAGTTAATGGATGCATGGTTTTCAAGCTGTTTTACAAATAAAAATCTGAAGTGTTGAATGTATTTGCTTTTTTCCTCTTTCACTTGGAATGTTTCTAAATAAAACTAAGTCCAGTCGAATCAATTGCATGCAGAAGTCACTTCAGTAGTAAACTGTGAAGATTTCAGAGGTACGTTCATATTCAGTGGTGAATAAACATCTGCTGGGACAAAGCTGTGAACAGGCCAAAAGCAGGTTATGAGACAATAATCCAATCTTCTAACATGTCATAAAGTGCCACTTGATTTCATTGTACTATTGATGTTTGCTTTTATATTTTCCCAGCTTAACTCTTCTATATGTTGTAGACGGTTCTGTCACTTTCCAGCTTACACATTCCACCTAAACCGTAGTTTCCTGTCTGAAACTACGGTAAAGGAAAGGCTGAGAGGGGTGTGCTGTGGTGGCACAGGGGCAAAGGGCAAAGCCCAACCCACATATGGAGGCCTCAGTCCTCAACACAGATGTCACAGGTTCGATTCCTGGCCTGGTGACTCTTGCCGCATGTCTTCCCCCTCTTT